CCAGAGTTCAGGCCCCACAACTGGACCCAAAAAAAAAGAAAAGAAAAAATAATAATACTAAAGCTTAAGTTTCATATGCATACCAGATTCTGATAATAACACGAAAGACTTCATTTTGGGAGGATCTTGAAACATCTTTCGGAGTAAAAACAAATTAAAATGGGAGGTATAGTAGGGTAAGCCAGGGCTGGTGGTTCACGCCTATAATCCTAGCTATCAAGAGGCTGAGATCTGAGGATTGAGGTTCAAAGTCATCCTGGGCAGGAAAAGTCTGCAAGATTCTTATCTCTAACCACCAAAAAGCTGACAGTGGAACTGTGGCTCAAATGGTAAAGCACCAGCCTTGAGGAAAAAAATTTTTTTAAGTATAGTAGGATAGAAAATGTGAAGACAGGGGCTGGGAAGGTGGCTCAGTGGTAGAGCGCTTGCCTTGCATGCATGAGGCCCTGGGTTCGATTCCTCAGCAGCACATAAGCAAAAAGAAAAAAGCCAGAAGTGGCGCTGTGGCTCAAGTGGTAGAGCGCTAGCCTTGAGCTGAAGAGCTGAGGGACAGCGCCCAGGCCCCAGGACCCGACCCAAAAAAAAAGAAAATGTGAAGACACAATTAGAAAAATATAAATTTAAGAATGAAAGATGTTTGCAATGAAGATGTACATTTGTGGAAAGGCTAAAGATGAAAGAACACCATTTACATGTGGGGCTCTTGGGAATTACCTTTAGGAGGAAAGTAGGATTTGCTCTCAGCTTTATGAGGCCAATCCACAATCAAAGGGCCAAAGCGACGGAAGCTAGCGGTGATCTCATCTAAAGAAACACAGAAAATGAGATGTCCAGATGTTTATAATCATTTTTTTATATAGAAGGTCTTTGGTTGGTTGGTTTGTGTGTTTTGCTCATTTCCAATCTAAGCCAGTACAGGGTGGCTCACGCCTGTAATCCCAGCTACTCAGGAGGCCGAGAGCTGAGGATCTCAGATCAGTGCAAGTCCGGACAGAGAAGTCCATGAGGTTCTTATCTCCAATTAGCCAGCAAAAAGCCATAAGTGGAGGTGTGGCTCAAGTGGTGGAGTGCCACCCTGGGGCCTAAAAGCTAAGGGGCAGAGCCCAAGTCCTGAGTTCAAGCCCTAGTACTATCTGTCTGTCTGTCTCTCTCTCTCTCTCTCTCTCTCTCTCTCTCTCTCACACACACACACACACACTTTCAAATTTGTTATCTTCAAGAACACTGAAAGAAATTCCTGAATTTCCTTCATCTACATTCCCCAGCTGCTACTCATTGGCACATGCCTAATTTCTCCCTCCCTTGCTCGCTCTGGTGTACGCATGTTTGTGTGAATCACTCTAGCCAGCCAGCCAGCCAGCCACCATCTTTCTGACTCCATGACCTTGAATGCTCTCTCCCTCCCCCAAATTGACATTTTCAAATCAAGGCCACTTCCTGGTTATGTCCCATACCCAGTTCTCTCGATCTGGAAATTAACAACACGACTGGATGCACAGAGGCCGTTTAAATCGCAAGCCACCCCAATTCTTCCCTGCCTTCCATAGTCATTTCACTACGTCTGACCCCACGGTGACATCATCTGGAGGCGGAGTCCTGGGCAGGAGGTCAGAGGCAGGTAGGGGTGGGGTCATCACCACCAAAGAGGCCTGGGGAGACTCTCTCTCTCTCTCCCTGTAGCTTCTATGAGAAGATGTTGGTTACTAGGAAGCAGGTGTGTAAGTAGTTCGTGCCTTTAACCTGGAACTTCGCGTGCAGAACCATGCACAATTTTTATTGCTTCTAAACTCGCTTAACCAGTCTAAGGCATTTTGTCACAGTAGCCCAAACTGACTGGGTGTGGACTGTGGCTGGTGCCTCCGCCATTTTCCCCAACCCTGGGAAAGCCCAGGCGCCACGTGGTGTTGTTTAGTAGAGAGAAGAATCTCAGGGGCCTTTTTGCCCGGGCTGGCTTTGAACCACGATCCTCACACCTCAGCCTCCTGAATAGCTAGGATGATAGGCGTGGGCCATAAGTAGCCTGGCCCAATGCTCTTTTTTTGTTTGTGTTTCAGATACAAAGTCTTTGCCTCTGATCCTATTTCCTTCTGCAAATCCTGTAATTTACTACACAATTCCTCCAAACAAAACTTGAGCTGCAAGCTGTGGATTCCTAAAACAGGATAAAGATTGATTCAGACAAACCTGGCGTTTCGGCACAGTTTTCACCAAGGTATTTTATTTTTGTGGAAGGAAAAGGGGTATTTCAATATTTGGATTTTTAAAACCATTTCTGTTTCAACGTTCCAAAAGATTATTTATGAAGTAAAATATGAGGAGGGATCCTAAAAACTGAGTCTTTAAACTTTATTATTATACCTTACCAGCTTTTAGGGAAATCTGTTCTACTATCCATATTGTGAATTGGTTTTTAGTCCCATTTAGGAAATAAAGACAAAAAAAAAAAAAAAGGAAGAAACATATGGCCTTCTACTGTGATTTTTTTTTTGCGGGGGGAGAGGGGTTGGTCATGGGGCTTGAACTCTGGGCCTGGGCGCTGTCCCTGCGCTCTTCAGCTCAAGGCGAGCGCTCTACCACTTGAGCCACAGCACCACTTCTGGTTTTCTAGTGGTTAACTGGAGATAGGAGTCTCACGGACTTTTCTGCCTGGGCTGGCTTTGAACCAGGATCCTCAGATCTCAGCCTCCTGAGTAGCTAGGACGACAGGCATGAGCCACTGGCACCCAGCATGATTTTTTTTTTTTAATGTGTGTATGTGCCAATCCTGAGGCTTGAACTCAGGGCCTGGGTACTGTTCCTTAGCATTTTTGCTCAAGGCTAGGGCTTTGCCACTTGAACCACAACTCCACTTTCAGATGACAGGCGTGAGCTCAGATATCATTTCTATGTCAAGCTTTCCTTAACTACCCCTGCTAGATCTCACCTCCCCACTGGCTTTTCAATACTTATTCTCTGATGTTTTATCACGTTAGGCTTTTTTTTTTGGTTGGCAGGGCTTGTACTCAGGTTCTGGGAGCTGTCACTGAACTCTTTTTGCTCAAGGCTAGCACACTCTACCACTTTGAGCCACAGTTCCACTTTCAATTTTCTGGTGGCTCATTGGAGATAAGAATCTCATGGCCTTTCCTGCCCAGGCTGGCTTTGGAATGCAATCCTCAGATCTCAGTCTCCCGAGTAGCTGGCGTTAAAGGCACAAGCCACCAGTGCCTGGCTTGTTTATACATTTCTATGGGCCTAACTCCAGGAGAACATAAACTCTACAGAAGCAAGGATTTTCTATCTTGCTTATTACTAAAAACAGCCAAGGAAGAAGAACACACTGCTTAGAAAGCAGGTAAACATTTGCTGAATGCAAGAGGAAAATAATCACAGAATGTTACAATCACCACCTCTTTCTTCTCCTCTCCCTCCTCCTCTTTCCCCTTTCCCCCCTCCCTCCCCCCCACATCCTCCCCCTCTTCCCCCTCCTCCTCCTCTTCCTCCTCCTGGGTTTGAACTCAGGGCTTTGTGCTTGCTATGCAGGCATTTTACCACCTCTACCCCAAGATTCCCTTTCTTGAAATACGACTAGGTTCCACATTTCTCAAACATTCATGCTTAAAAGATTTTAAATTTTGCCAAGCACAAAATGTGCCTGTAATCCTAGCTACTCTGGAGGCAAAGATATGAGAATGGTAGTTCAAAGCCAGCCTGGAGAGGAAAGCCCATGAGACTCTTATGTCCCACTAACAAGCAAAAATTAGAAGTGGAGCTGTGGCTCAAGTGGTAGAGGACCATCCTTGAGCAAAAAAAAAAAAAAAACTGAGAGTGTGAGGTCTTTAAGAAGCTCCAGTAATGGCACCAAAAAAAAAATTTTTTTTGTATGTTGAAACCATGAACTATGTACAGTTACAAAATACTCACAGAAGATAGGAAAGATAAAGAAACAATTAATCGACTTTGGCAAGGCAACATAGATAGGGGGAAAAAAAAAGGTTGAGCCTCGTGCTGGTGGCTCACGTCTGTCATCCTAGTTACTCAGGAGGCTGAGATCTGAGGATCGCAGCTCGAAGCCAGCCTGGGCAAGAAAGAAAGTCCACGAGACTCCAGCTCCAATAAATTAACAAAAAAGCTGGAAGTGGAGCTGGGGCTCAAGTAGTAGAGCACAAATCTTGAGCAAAAACAGCTCAAAGACAGTGCCGAGGTCCTGAGTTCAAGCCCAAGAACCACCTCTCTCTCTCTCTCTATCTCTCTCTCTCTCTCTCTCTCTCTCACACACACACACACGGATTTTGTTGTTGTTGTTTTTTGTAAAGCAATCTTTTGTTCACAATGACAGATCCTTGGGAAATTTCCTCCTTGCGCTGATTCCACAGCCCTGCTCACCTCCTCTCTTTTATTCAAAAGACAGGAAGAGGGGACAAGAAAACCATATCGTGATGACTGAATACCGGGAACCAGCGGGGGCTGTAGTTGGGGTGGCACCCTGCTCTAAGTTGTTTTGTTTTGTTTTTGCCAGTGCTGGGGCTTGAACTCAGGGCCTGGGCACCGTCCCTGAGCTTCTTTGGCTCAAGGCTAGCACTCTACCACTTGAGCCACAGCGCCACTGGCTTTGTCTGTGTCTGTGGTCCTGAGGACTCGAACCCAGGGCTTCATGCATGCTAGGCGAGCGCTCCATCCCAGCCCAGAAGTTCTTTGCTTTTCAGTCTGTTTTCACTGTCAAGTTCTTTCCAGTCTGAGAACGAAGCAGGCCTCCGGGCCCTGCCTGGGGCCTCTCTCCCCACGTACCTTCGTCGATGTCCGGGGGCAGCCCGCCCACGAACACCTTGCGGGAGTAGCGCTCCACCCGCTCCCCGTTCTGGTGGGGGAAGCAGTGCGGCGAGCCCAGGCCGCTGGGCAGGGGCTGGTCCCCGCGGCCATCGTCCAGGAACCCATCCTCCATGGGAAACAGCGAGGACTGACCTGAAAGAGAAAAGCAGGACGGGCGGCTTACCAGCAGGTGCACCGGGCCTCCCGAGGAGGCCTGGCCGGCCGGCCGGGGCCCAGCAGGTGCACCCAGAGGCCTGGCCGGCTCTGATCTGCCCTCACGGGCTGGGAGGGGATGGGATCACTTAGTTCCCATCACCTCCAAGCCCGGCCCGGGCAGAGGTGGGTGCACTGAGGGTTGAGTTTGGTTATCCGATGCTGGCCTTTCTGAGGGTCTTTGCTACATCTGATGGACGGTGGCCTGGAGGAGGCCCCGACTGACAGGTGGGTCATCTACCCCCACCGACTGTGATGGACGAATTCACTGCTGGCCATGGGGAACTGACAGGCCTTAAAGGCACAGTAAAGATGCAGATCTAGCAGATGAGGAGCGGGGCTCACCAAAGATGCCTTTTGTTTGTTAAAACACCGGAATATGTGAGAAAAGACCAGAAATGCTTTAGGTGTATTAACCATCTTCGTGTATTTACTTAACAGCAACGTGGAAAATTTTACCTCATAAGCAAAACACAGAGCTACAAATAACTGCAAAACTCTTTTTCTTTTTCTTTTTTTTTTTTCTGTTTTGTTGCCAGTCCTGGGTCTTGAACTCAGGGCCTGGATGCTGTCCCTGAGCTTCTTCAAGGTTAGCGCTCAACCACTTGGGCCACAGCGCCACTTCGGGCTTTTTCTGTGTCTGTGGTACTGAGGAATTGAACCCAGGGCTTCATGCATGCTAGGCAAGCGCTCTACCACTGAGCCACCTTCCCAACTCATGCAAAACTCTATTAAAGCACTGTTACTGCTCAGTACTACATAAGGAATTTGTTCATGGATCCGATAGCAATCTGTCTCAAGTGTTTTCCACTCTTGGATCACGTCAACATCTTTCTGTTGGCATATTTGCCTTTAACTCTCATTACTAAACACAAAGAACAATAGCATCGTTGTTACAAATTTATCCTTATAATAACCACATGGCAAATGCAAGCAAACGTGATTACAAAATTGAAGGTGATTATCGGAATGATCTTTAGAAAAAAAAAATCTAGGCTACTTAAAGTGTCTTCCATTTTTAAAAAAATAAAATAAAATGGCAAACGATTACAGATGGTTAAAAAAAACAGTAATTAATTTATATTTTTAAAAAAAGCAGCCAGGCACTGGTGACTCATACCTGTAATTCTAGCTACTCAAGAGGCGGGTCTCATTTAGATATAAGAGTCTGTTAGACTCTAATATCTCAGGCAAAAAGCCTGCCTCATGTGGTAGAGCATCAACCTCGAGCAAAAAGCCAAATGAGAACAGGAAACCTCCAGATCAAGTCCCAGTACTGGCATAAAAATAAATAAATAAAGCAAATGAACAAAAAGGTTTATTGGGGCACTTTAGGGAATGAATCTCTAAAATTCCTTAGCCTTTGGAGAGTTTCCTCCCTTATATTTGAAAGGGATATAAGACGAGTTATTTGTTTAACTCACCTTAGTTTCCATCAAATGTATTATGTGTCTCAGTAAAACAAGTTAGCAGAAAGTAATTATAACTAAGCCTCCAAGATAATGAGGCATTTTGAGATCAGAGTAAGTCTATCTCCTTTTTGAAGTTCTTTCATATTTTTTGCCTATGAAATTATTTTTCAGAAAGAAAAAAAAGGGGGAGGCCAATGTTTAGCTATAAGTAAGTCAAATATCTAATATAATAGAGGGAAAGTATTTGACTTTAAATCCCACATTTTAGTAATTTATGACAAGCTCATAACTCTCTCCAATGAGGTCTAAGATGTTCAGGATAACAGAGGAATTACTCTTCCACTTCCCTTCCCCCGCCCCCCCACATAGGCTAGAAAGTTTGAGTGGTCCCCATACAAGTGACACATTGAAAAATTAAAAGCAATAATGTTACCTCTCCTCCGCCCATATGTCCTTGCTGCGTGTCAAATGAGAAGAAAAAAAACAAAAAAACAAAAAAAAACCTTTCAAACATTGTCAAAAGAACCAACTGAGATTTCATCTACCAGCTTCTGAAATGGAGGGGAAAAAATGGCTGCATTCGTCATTTCCTGACCAATGACACAAAAATCAGGAACTAGATGGTAAGAGGTCAATTAAATACACCTTTTATCGTCCCCAAGTTCTTAAAAACCAGTTGGTGTTTACTTGTTTTAAGGGATGATTTTTGGTTGTAATTGTCACCCAAGGCCCAAACCATTCTGAAACATTATCTAAACCAGTAACCACTGTAGGCACCAGATTTCTCTCCAATTTTTCCCTGAGATTTCATACCAATATTGAATTCATGACATTCTCTCACTGCAAGATGAGCAGCCATTTTATTGTCTTTTCTCAAGCAATTAGTCTTCAAACAATTTATATAGTTTTCAAGCAATTGATAAACATTTTAGTTGAAGTGGTTTTGTGTCCCTAATCAAATCTCCCACCACGTCCCAAATGTAAAATGAAATCTTACACCTAGTAGGCAGTAGGTATATATATTTTTTTTAATTAATTTTTTTTGGGGGGGGTCCAGTCGTGGGGTCTGAACTCTGGGCCTGGGCGCTGTCCCTCAGCTCTTCAGCTCAAGGCGAGCGCTCTACCACTTGAGCCACAGCACCACTTCTGGCTTTTTTCTTTTTGCTTATGTGGTGCTGAGGAATCGAACCCAGGGCCTCATGCATGCAAGGCAAGCGCTCTACCACTGAGCCACCTTCCCAGCCCTGCAGTAGGTATATTTGAGGCGAAAGATAACATAATCATTGAGTCCTCAAGAAACCACACCCTAAATGTTATTTGTTTTTTCCCCCAGTACTGATCCTGGGGCTGGAACTCAGGGCCTGGGCACTGTCACTGAACTTTTTGTGCACAAGGCTACCACTTTACCACTTGAGCCACAGCTCCACTTCCAGCTCTTTGGTGGTTAATTAGAGATGAGAGTCTCACAGACTTTCCTGCCGGAGCTTGGCTTCGAACCAGGATCCTCAGCTCTCAGCCTCCTGAGTAGCTAGGATGACAGGCCTGGGCCACCGGTGCCTGGCTACACTCTAAATTTTAAACCAGGAAATGTTGTTTGAGAATAGACGTCTCCTGAAACTTAAAGCCCACCAGGTCCCGGGGACTCCATTCTAACCACCAAACGCTTCCTGAATGCCGACCTTGGGGTACACTATGCATGAACACCCCACCCTGACGTCACAGACCCCCACTTCTGGGCCACTGCCTCCCACCACAAATGGGTCATGATCCCGTACCCCGTGCCTTTTGCTACACTGTGATTCCTCCTTTACCCACTGTTTTGTTTGCCATGATTTCAGTGACCCAGTGGTCCCCCTGAAGTCTGAAAACACTGGATGGAAAATTCCAGAAAAAAAAATTTTTTTTCCTAAGTGTGAAATCACACAGCCTTCAGAGTGGCATGATGAAATCTCACACCTTCTCACACCATCCTGCCCGGGCCCAGCAACTGTCCCTTTGTCCAAAATATTCACACTGTAAGTTATCTGCCCCTTAGTCACTTCTGAGATGGGGGGGAGGGGAGAGAGAGAGAGACAAAGGGAGGGAGGGTGGGAGGGAGAGGGAGGGAAGGCGCACTGTTTTCTGTTTCAGAGATCTATCAGGGGTCACACAACAGATCCTATATATAAAAGGAAGATCGCTGTCCTAGGGCTGTGGTCACTGTGTCAGGAACAGAGGTAGAGGGACCACTGGTTATTGGGGGTGAGGGCCATCTAAAATAGGCCCTAAAGGTAAGGCAGAGGAAGGGGGCCCAGGCCCCACCATGCCTCTGGCTGGGCACTTCTCATGCTCAGGGAAAGGAGACCTGAACACACAGAATGGGCGAGGGCTTGGCAGGAAGTCAGGCTAGGTCTTTTGCCAGTGGTGGTTCAAGTGGTAGAGCTCCAGTCTTGAATGAAAATGCCAAAGCTCAAGGCCCTGAGTTCAAGTCCTAGTATGGGGGGGGAGGGGGAGCAGAGGGGAGCAGTAACACTTTCTTATTGGGGTTGTTCTATTGGGGTTTGAACTTAGGACTTTGTGCTTGCTTAGGCAGGCGCTTACTGCTTAAGCCTGGCCTCCAGCCCAAACTTTAGAGGTCACAAGTTTTATTCTCGGTCTTCTACGCAAAGGTGCTAAGTCTGTATAACTGAGAAAAAGTATCATGTGTTTTTTTCCAAAATGAAATGATTTCTACCATTACTAGATAGCAGGGGATTTCACCCAAGCACTCAAGTCAATGGACTAAAATAACATACAGCTTTCCTGAGGGAAAATATATCAGGTTTTCCATTTAGTAGATCTTAAGTTCAGAATGAAGCCCTATTTGTGGGGTTGGGGGGGCGTGGCTCAGGTGGTAGAGTGCCAGCTAATAAGTGAAAGTATCAGAGACCGAGTTCAAATCCCAGTCTCAGACAAAAAAGAAAGAAAAGAAAGAGAAGCTATTTGTTGGACAAGTAAGAGGCATTACCAAAGCGGACACTGGCTTAGGAATATCCTACTTATCCAAAACTTCAAAGCCAAAAGAAAAGGAGAGCTCAGAGAAACAATTATTTGAAATAATTGTTTTGCCAGTTAGATTAAGCCAGGGACCAGTGGCTCACACCTGTCATCCTAACTATTCTGGGGGCTGAGATCTGTGGCTCAAGGTTCAAAGCCAGCCAGCACAGGAAAAACTCTTATCGCCAACCAAGCACCAAAAAGCCAAAAGTGGAGGTGTGGCTCAAGGGTTAGAACACCAGCCTTGAGCTCTTTAAAAAGCTCTGGACAGAGTGAACGGGAAGGAAGGAAGGAAGGAAGGAAGGAAGGAAGGAAGGAAGGAAGGAAATGGCTTTAACTGTGTTTTATATGAATCTGTATTTTGGAAACATTCTATCTATATCAGCTGAACTATGCTCAGAGTTTTCCTTAGTTTGCCTATGAATAAACTGTAAGATTTGAAAAAATACATCCTATTACTAAATCAGAGTCAAAATGCATATTATTTATATGTCTGCCTTCTTTCATTTTTATTACTTAGTTTTGATTTAATAAGTCCCTCAATGATTTACCATTCAGGACTAACAGGCTTCAAGAAGGGTACAAATGGGAAGTGGCGCTGTGGCTCAAGTGGTAGAGCGTTTGTCTTGAGCTGAAGAGCGCAGGGACAGCGCCCAGGCCCAGAGTTCAAGCCCCAAAACAAAAAAAAAAAAAAAAGAATGGTAAACATGGCCCGGAAACTCATCAATTTTGGGAACTTCTGGATAAATGCTATTAGATCTCTGATAAACATGTGCTTTCAAACCTCTTTCCAAGACTGCTCACAAATGCTTTTCCTATTGCCAGCCTCATACGCATCATCAACTTCCTGCCATTAAAATCTTTCTTATCTCTGGCAGACTTTTCTTTTTCTCTCCATATTTACACATGTATGTCGTTACAAAAGTGCCATACTATTCATTTCTTAGAAAAAGTATCTTTTCTCATTTGTTGTAATAAAACTATCCACAATGTACATGAAGAAAAAATATCTAATAGGTAGCCATTTAGCTCACACCTGTAATCCTAGCAACTCAGGAGGCTGAGATCTGAGGATTGCAGTTCGAAACCAGCCTGGGCAGAAAAGGCCGTGAGACTCATATCTCCAATTAGGCACCAAAAAGCAGGAAGTGGAGCTGTGGCTCAGGTAGCAGAGTAGCTAGCCTCGAGTGAAAAAGCTAAGGTACAGGGTCCAATCCCTGAGTTCAAGCCTCAGGACCAGCACACACAAGAAAAATGAGAACAATACATGAGCATCTGTATGTACTCATGGTGCTTAGTCTGCATAGGTAAAATAAAGCCTCAACCTAAGTCAAAGGGAAGTTCATTGTTCACTTCCATGTCTCACTCAAAGCTTACCCAAGATGCACCAGTGGACATGGAGGTAGGCACCATTGGGAGGAGGTGATCTGCACTTCCTCTCAGTACAGAAATTTACTTGGAAATGGTTTATTAGGAGCTGCATTGTACCCTATCCTTCCTCTCATTTCTATGAATTTCTAATGCTTAGGTCCTCAGAATGTGACTGTTTTTTGAGACACGTGTGTGTGTGAGTGTGTGTGTGTGTGTGTGTGCTGGCAGTACAACTTAAACTCTGGGCCTGAGTGCTGTCCCTGAGCTTTTTGATTCAAGGCTGGTGGTTCTACCACTTGAGCCACAGCTCTACTTCCAGCTTTTCTGGTGGTTCACTGGAGATCCTAACCTCAAGGACCTTCCTGCCTGGGCTGGCTTCAAACCGCAATCCTCAGATCTCAGCCTCTTTGAGTAACAACAACAACAGACAACCACAACAAAAATCAAATATTTGCGTGAAAAATTTGCACGTGAGAAAGAGGTCAAAGAAGCGCTTGGCTATTTTTAATCCAGACAAAACAAGAAATAGCCTCTAACTCAAGAGAAGTTCTGGAAGTTAGAGCAGGACCATTACACCAGTGATAACAGAGGCCCTCTTCTATGAGATCCTAATTATGGCAGACCAAGAAAACCAGCTTGATTTCTTTCAGTCTCAAGGCCAGAAGGACTACAGGTTGCCCCAATCTATTATTTATTATATATTAATATTTATTCATAGTTAAATTGATATTTATATTACATAAGTATATTTATAATATTTATTTCCCTTTTTAATTCAGAATTGATAAGGAAAGATGGGCAAAAGGAAACAGTCTGAATTATTGACCTCCGATACATCCATACACATACACACACACACACACACACACACACATTCAACAGTAGACAACCTTTATATAAGCTTCCAAGGCTCTTGTTTTGTCATTTATTTCTTTTGTAAACCATTAGCTTCCCACACACACACACACACCATGCCCCAAAAAAACCACCCACCTTCTGTAGTTGGGCTCAAACCACATACATTTAATCTCCAATATAATCCTAGGAGAAGGAAGGTGTGTGTGTGTGTATGTGTGTGCGTGCGTGCGTGCGTGTGTGTGTGTGTCTTGAGTCTGTCTTCATTAAGTGTGATACATTCATTCAGTCTGTCTTCATTAAAAGCAATAAATTCATACACTAGAGTTTCATGTAACTACCTCTAAAAATCTAAGCTGGTGCTCCACTTCTTGAGCCACACCTCCAGCCCAGCCTTTTGCTGACCATTTTGGAAATGGAATATCTAGCAGACTTTTATAGCTGGGCTGACTTCATGGTACCATGCTCTGTATCTCAATGTCCTGAATAGCAAGGGAGGGTGACAGGTGTGAGTCACTGGCCCTTAGATGTGGTTCTCTTGAGGTTACTTTATAAATAGGACTGAGAGAGTGGGCAGAACCTATTTCTAAATCAGGTGATAAAGGAATGGTGTCAGTGCCCTTCTCCCCTACTGACTGAGTATGCAAGCATCAAATCTATTCTAGATCTTCTCCACTGGAGAGAGAATGAATTTGTCACTCAATTTCAACATCTAATCTACCTACAAGTTTCATTCTTCATTTATAAATGAATAAACTGGCATCTGGCCCTAGATGGTTTGTTATTTAAACACACACACACACACACACACACACACACACACACACACACACGACCATATCTGATGAGATCAAGTTTGGGTACCTGTGCAGCTTGATACTAGACCTGAGACTATATCGATTAAGATTTTATACTCAGCCAGGTGCCGGTGGCTCACACCTGTCATCCTAACTACTCAAGAGGCTGAGATCTGAAGATCCAGGTTCGAAGCCAGCCCCAGCAGAAAGTCCCGGGGAGACTCTATCTCCAATAACCCATTCAAAAACCAGAAGTGGCACAGAGCACCAAGAAGCCCAGGGACAGCACCCAGGCCCTGAGTTCAAGCCCCACAACTGATTAAAAAAAAAAAAAAAAGACTTCACACTCCTGAATCTGGCTGAAAGAGACAGGAAGCTTTTGCTGCTTTCCATCTCCACACCCCCCCCCCATTTCTTTATCTTCATGTCTTTTGGTTTGAGAGAATGTTAACTTCTGACAGTGTATCTTTGTCATATGTAAAATGTCTGTGTAAGCAACAGTAAAAAGGCAGATCATTATGCCTACATCTACAGTTTGAAGATAAGTAAAACTTTAAAACATAAATAGATGGTTAGGTGCTGATGACTCATACTTGTAATCCTAACTATGCAGGAGACTGAGTTCTGAGAATCACAGTTCAAAGCCAGACACGGCAGAAAAGTCCACAAAACAGTTATGTCCAGTTAGCCAGCAAAAAGCTGGAAGCAGAACTATTGTTCAAGCAGTAGAGTTCCAGCCTTGAGTGAAAAAGCTAAAGGACAGTGCCCCGGGCTCAAGCCCCAGTACCTTTGCTAAGTCAAAGCTGTTTAATAAGTTCACAAAAGAAAGATATTAATAGAGAAAACCAGAAAGGCAATCTCCTATATAACAGACTTCTTTCAATGAAGTGGCTTTAGCTTTAAGGAAACTCTAGTAGATAAGTTTTTCTCATGGCAACAAGGACCCGCACAAAAGTAGCCGATCATTTTGCCTGGGTGGGAGTACTCACTGTCTTCAACCACTGAACCTAAACCTGAGTCTGGCTCTAATGCTCCCAAATCGAGGTCAACTCTGCCACATTGTCCTCTCTCACTGCTGGGGACTGCTTTGGGCCTACAAACTTCTGTTTTTAGATCCAAGACTGGGACTCAAACTCCATACCTGTTGCTTTTGCTCCTTAGCCACTGCTCTACCAGGGAAGCCAGGCCTCCAGCCCCTGGCCTACACTGTTACAGTGAAATGTTATAGCCTGGCATCATTATGATTGTTATTTCTGCTGGAATAGTTTACATGGCACAATTGTGTATTAGGCGGAGGGTGGCATCATTCCTAGCACCATGGTGTGAAAACACCCAAGTCTGATGAAGAGGGGGTTTTTGATGAACTGCTCAGCCTTGACAAAACGCTTGGCAATCCAGCTTGCATCTAATCATTCAGTTCAGGCTTAAGTCTCACAGCACCCAGATTGAGACAGCACCCCAAAGGAAGCCTGGTCACAAAGCTCATCTTCCCACAGACCGTAGACTAGGTTTGTGCGTTGAGGGACAATGACAACAATGACAACTTTCATCAAGGACCTTTAAGAGGTTTTGCTAAAAAGAAAGCATGGTCAAGGCAGAAACTTGAAATAGAGCATCCAATAGTAAATAAGAAGCAAGAAAGACTTAAAAGAGACTCCACTCGGTCCTTGGAAGCTGTGATACACCTACAAACTCTTTGGGGGGAGCAAAAGCCCCGGCCCTTTCCCTGTGAACCTGAGCTTGTCTACAACCAGAACCTATCAGCACATGAGGTAAGGAGAATCGTGTAGATTCTTTCCCTGAGTCCCCTTTGATAGCAACACTGAATGACCTTGTCCTTTGCAAGGTCACGTGCCTGTGGTCTTGGGCTGCCTCTTTCTGGTTTGAAAGCTTGGACTAACCTTCCCCTTGTGGCCCATTTCTCCCACCTACATGGAGAAAAGGCCTTCATGGTGACATTTTAAAGGTTCCAGGAACAAATGTCCCATGAAGTCCATTTTCGTCCTTCAGATTCTCACTTAATCCCACTGGAACCGACTGGGAAACGATTGGCTCCTCAATTCTTATTCTTTTTCTTATTCTTATTCTTATTAAGTAGTTGTCCAAAGGGGTTACAATTCCACAAGTCCAATTCTATTTCCTAAAAAGTTTCTGTCATAATGTCCGGGGAATGACTCTGAAAATAGCTGATTAATAGCAAGTGTTATTTTTCAAGGTAAACAAAAGCCACTTCTCTACTTGTGGCAGCAACAACTCGATTTTTTTCCTCCCCTAGCTCTAAATGTACTCCAAGTTCTGTGCACTTCACTAAGGTAAATTAATGATCACTTACCATTAATAAGCAGAGAACTATCGGATCCTGGATATGAATAGTTTACACGACCTGAAGGTAAAAGAAGGCCATTACTAAATTAGTTGCTTTCATAGATGGTTTTAAAATTACTCAATAACACAGCTGAATTGATTGCTTTGAACAGGCAATAAATTGTACTTAAAGACACTGTACTTAAACAGGACAAAACTTGGTTGTGGACATGGCGATTTGCAGGAAAGTATGCATTGAACATGCTCACCAAAACTTAAAAGGGAGACATTTGCGGGTAGTTAAAGAAAATATCCCTCTTTTAATGAGTAAGTCATTCTAGTTTGCAAAAGCCCACCCATTTCTACCATTTACATTCTGACACCATCACACAGCAACCATCTTTGGGGTTTTTGTCCCATAAATACCAACTAATTTGTTGGTGATGGGTTTTGTTCCTTTTACCAAACTATGTAACAAGCAGTAATATTTTCTTAGATGTCAAGTAAGAAAACTGCCATGTCTGTGCCCACACGTCTGTCCACGCATGGGCTTCAGTGAAGGTTTAGCCCAGTGATAATTGAGGGTAAAGAACATTTCATATCACATATGATGGAAAATGCCTGAAGTCCCCAACCTCATACTCAAGAGCACTGTAGACGCTTGGCAAATTATTTTTAATCCTCAATCGTTGCCCAAGATGCCCTTCAAAAAGTATCTGTAAGCTGGGAGTCAATGGCTCCTGGCTGTCATCCTAGCTACTCAGAAGGATGAGCTCTGAGGACAGTGGTTCAAAGCCAGCCTGGGCAGGGAAGTCCTTGAGATTCTTATCTCCAATGAACCACCAAAGAGCCAAAAGTAGAGCTGAGGCTCAAGGGTAAAGCACCAGCCTTGAGCAAAAGAAGCTCAGAGATAGCAAGCACTCAGACCCTGAGTTCAAGCCCAAGGACGTGTGCATGTGCGCACACACACACTCATATACACAATAATCATTTGCTAAAATGCTACCATTGTTCATAACTAGGAGAGAAAGCAATGGGCTGTCTGTCTTGCAAAAGTTCTGTTTTACAAGAACCTCCATATGGAAGTTGAGTTAGCTAGATCATACATACACATTTAAGACATACAATGCACTCTACAAGTTACAAAATAAAAAATGAGCCTATCTCCACACCCCACAGGGTCCATCTCGGGAGAACGAAGGAGAACCCTCAACGCGCCATGTTGTTCATTAAAGGAATGGAGTGGAAAATGTGGTGGCTGATTCTCAGGACGACACCCACTTTTTAGGAAAACACTCTGAACTCTGGTCTCATGGAACCTTAACTCTAGAAATCAGATAAGCAGAGACTCTCCCAAGCCTTAAGGCTGGACAGGCCTTGCCAGACGTCAGCAAGACTTTACTTAATTCATCGAATATTCTGGAACCCAGAGTTTACATGTGGCCCACCAACCCAACAAGGGAACAGCTCTTCAGAAAGAAAGGAACTGGAGAGCTCCAATGTCTTTTGAGATTCCACGGGGGGGCGGGGGGGAGAGAGGAGAGGGGGCGCAATACTATTAAGATAGAAAACTGTCCTTGACTATCAGCAAGTTTTGTCCATAGCCACGGCCAATATTTGGAATTTAATATGAAAAAGAACCAGAACTTAATGATTTTCTTAGTTTATAAACAAATAAGAAAGTTTCAAGAACCAGGAGCTAGTGGCACACATTTGTCATCCTAGCTACTCAGGAGGCTGAGATTTGAGGACCACGGTTCAAAGCCAGCCTGGGCAGGAAAGCCCATGAGACTCCTATCTCCAATTAACTACCAAAAAGGACCTAAGTGGAGCTGTGGCTCAAGGGATAGAGCAGTAACTTTGAGTTTAAAAAAAAAGCTCAGGAAAGCCAGGCATTGGTGACTCACTCCCGTCATCCTAGCTACTCAGGAGGCTGAGATCGGTGGATCATGGTTAGAAGCCACCAAGGGCAGAAAAACTCCTGTGAGATGCTCATCTCCAATAAACTACTCAAAAAACCCAGAAGTGACCTTGTCGCTCAAGTGGTAGAGCGCTAGCCTTGAGCACAAAGAGACTCAGGGACAGCACACAGGCCCCAAGTTCAAGCCCCAGGACACACACACACACACACACAAAGTTTTATCCTAAAATTAGTTGTTCCACTGAAAACTTCAGCTTATTCTTAGTAGAAAATGAAGGCAGGGATGGAAAAATGGGAGAAGAAGGTAAAACTTAACTTTGATCGGTTCATTTCCATTTCTTCCAAAAACTTGGTTTCATTCTCAAGTGCCAATGTATAGAGAAATGTCCAAATCTACTACATTGAATTTCAACTGCTTTACCTACAGCCATACTTATCACAAGTTGTGTATATTTTGTTTTGTGTTTTGGTGCTGGTCCTGGGGCCTGAACTCTGGGCCGGGGTACTGTCTCTGAGCTGTTGTGCTCAAGGCTAGCACTCTACCACTTGAGCCACAGCTCTACTTCTGGCTTTTTGGTAGTTAGCTGGAGAGAAGAGATTCATGGACTTTCCTGCCTGGACTGGCTTCCAATCAGATTTCAGCCTCCTGAGTAGCTAGGATGACAGGCGTGATCCACCAGTGCCTGGCTCACAAGGGTGTGTGTGTGTGTGTGTGTGTGTGTGTGTGTGTGTGGTGTGTGTGATAGATTTGAGATACAAAGAACAAGAAGATGGCTTTAATTGTTTTTGTTTTTTTTTTAAACACACTTGCAAGGAAGATCCTACTTCTGAATCACTTAACTCAAAGTAACAGCTGACTTTTGGTAATAGAATATGTATAAATCTTGTAACTGTAAAACTCTCTAGTAAATGAACAAGCAAGAGCTATCAAAAAGTACTTTACCAGTCGGGTGCTGGTGGCTCACGCCTGCCATCCTAGCTGCTAAGGAGGCTGAGATCTAAGGATTGTAGTTCAAAGCCCGCCCAAGCTTATCTCCAATAAAAGTACTCAGAAAAGGCTGGAAGTGGCACTGAAGCTCAAGTAGGAGAGTGCTAGCCCTGAGCTCAGGGACAGTAACTACACCCTGAGTTCAAGCCCCAGGACTGGCACCAAAAAACAAAACAAACAAAAATCAAACACACACTTTACCATGCCAGGCACTGGTGGCTCACACCAGTAATCCTAGCTACTTGGGAGGCTAAAATATGACAATGGCAGTTTAAAGCCATCTGGGGCAAGAAGTCCAGGAGACTCTGATCTCTAATTTACCACAAAAAAGGGAGACGTGAAGCAATGGCTCAAGTGGTAATGCACTAGCCTTGAGCAAAAAAGCTCAGGGATAGCTCCCAGTCTCTGAGTTCAAGACCAACCGAAAACAAACAGAAAAACAAAGAAAAAAAAAACTTTACCTGAAATGACTTAAAATACAATATAAGTCAATACAGACACAAAGGTGCAACATTATATTGTCTGAAGTTAATTTCTACAGAGATAGTTCTTTTTTTTTAATGCTAATATTCCCTTGAAACCAAGGCTATATATATGACCTGCATGTCACTTATTTGATGCTGAGGAGTGATCAAAATACTTCACAGTGAAAATCCCGAAAGAAAATAAACTAGCTGGCTGGTAAAGTGCTAAATCTAACCCTCTAACCCTTGCTAGTTCTGCTGACTCGATCGTTGTGCCTTTCTTAGAAATGTCATGTCGGTGAAACCACAGAGTCAAGCCTTTGCAGACAGGCTTCTTTCTCTTACTAGCGCATCTTTCCTGTGTGTTCTTTATGTGGGTTGGTTTACGCAGTTCTTTTGAGCACTGAACAACATTCCATTGTCTGGACAGACCATAGCTTGCTTGTTTAGGTATCTGTGCATCTTGGTTGCTTCCATGTTTGGGTCATTATGAGTAAAGCTGACATAAATATTTCTGTACAGGGTTGTATATGAACATAACACTGTGTGTGTGTGTGTGTGTGTGTGTGTGTATGTGTGTGTGTGTGGTGTGTATGGGGGTTCTGGGGCTTGAACTCAGGGCCTGGGAACTGTCCTGGAGCTTTTTTGCACCAGGCTAGCATTCTACCACTTGAGCCATAGCACCACTTCTGGCTTTTTGGCTGTTTCACTGGAGATAAAATTCTTATGGACTTTACTGCCCAGGCTGGCTTCAAACCAGGATCCTCAGAGCTCACCATCCTGAGTAGCTAGGATTGATTACAAGCGTGAGCCACCGGCGCCCAGGGATGAATGTAACTTTTATGAAGTTGTTTACCATTTTTTTCCAGGTCACCTTTTTTTTTTTCCCCCAGGATACCCTTTTCAAAATGGAAATCTCTTTTTAAATGAACATGCCTGATTTTAGTTCCACTTCACGGCAGCCTGCTTATGTAAACCCTTCGGCTACCAGGCTACCCTTATCTCTTGTACATAATAAACCCCCTTAGGGAGTAAAACTTTCCCTACTTAGCCATTTGGAGTTTCCTGTTTGGCTACCAGGCACACAGTCAATGAGTTTATTCCCTTAAACTTGAAACATAAGCATTCCACAAATGAGTCAAGGACAGGAAAATAAAAATAGTGGAGAAAAAGGAAGAGAACAGAGCCAGTGGTTTGGGTTGGCTGGTTGGTGTTGATAAAGCATCTATCTATAAACACAGCCAGGTTTGGTTATCTCATTACTGGAACGGAAGGCATTAAGCAGTTCAGGCACAGGGCCCTATTTGGTGGGTAAAATTCAATCTCTAAAGACTGTGGGTACTGAGTGTGTTATAAGCCCACGGGGGACAGTTTGATCAGCAGAACTGCTCTTCAGGCCACAGTGGCGAGGACAGCCGCCGTCTCCGGAGGCCAGCTGTGGCTCTGGGAGGCCGAAGCCTGGCATGCAGCTGGCAGAAGGCAAGGGCTATATTTGGTGACATGACTCAGCCTAACCAAATATAGGCAACTGATACAGTGTGACTCTGGAAGCTTCAACACCCACACCCAAAGAGATCATTTTATGCAAAGCATTTGTGAGTTAAAGATAATCAGTCCTTACCCCAAAGATGAACTTTGATGATAGTAGCGGGGCAGCTCTCTACAGAACAATATTATTATTGTAGTTGTTTTCTGTTCTTTTTTTT